TATTAACACTTAAAGTTTCAATTTTTTGAGTTAATATACATGTATAATACAGTAGGGATTAAAATTACAGATAGCTAATTGTTTTTTTATGACATTGCTGTCGCAGTTACGTATTGTTCATTATCAATTATGACTATCAATAGATATACATTCTGTATTGTCAATTAGTGTATTTATAAACTCACAACAATGTGCCTTACTACCATTGATAATAACAATGCTTTGTACCTGCTAATATCGATGTCATAAAAAACCAATTAGCTATCTGTAATTTTAATCCCTACTGTATTATACATGTATATTAACTCAAAAAATTGAAACTTTAAGTGTTAATATCTAATAAACGAATAAAGTTATTTTAAAAATTCAAATGCCATTTACTATTAAATTAAAAACTCAAAAATGTTATTAAATTCAAAATATGTGTTCTCATTTAAAAAAACTCAAGTTAATGTTTTTTAACCTTGAAGGGATGAAAAATATCATGTTTTAACTACATATTATTGTAGTGTTTTTTGAATCAAACAATATTTTCCTTACCAAAAATTAAAAATTTTCAATAGTTACTGAGTAAACGAGTGTCTTATCCTTAATGAATCACCCTGTATATATTCTAATTACTATTAAAATTTTTATATACACACTTTATTCTTATTTAGAGATATAGAACTCATTCATTCCGATTACAAAGGATGAATTTGCGCGCCTGCTGCTTTCCTTGGATGTGGTAGCCGTTCCTCTAACTCCCTCCCCGGAAGCATATTAACATTCTGCACACGAAATGTAACCCAGCAAGAAATTCGCCTCTCTGATTGGCTACACATTATTTATGATAACAATTTGAATTTTGCCGCCTTAATTCATAATTGTTTTAAAAAAAGATTAAAAGAATTGTTTTAAACAATGGACAAATATTTGTATGAGTTAATTGATTAACTTTTTACAAATAAATACTTTAAGTAAAATTTGATGCACATATTTGAATTATCTCATATATTATTATTTATTAGCAATATTTTCTTTATATTTGTATGTAAAATGAATCCAGTTATAAGTTCTGAAAACCTTCCTTCGTCATTTAACAATAAAATTATTGAATCTAACGAAAAATATACATTGGTTAGGTCAAATATTTTAGATTTACCAAGTATTAGTAATTGGATTTATGAATTTTCTTTAAATACTAATACTAAATGGAATGTCCGTTCTTCAGTTCCAAATGGAACTTATATTCAGTGCAAGTTAGTAAATAAATTTTTTCTTTGAATTATGTTTAATACAATAAATAATTAACACTAATATAATATTTTAAAACTGTTTCATAGAAAATTATTTATATATCATCATAGCTCTTACCATAAAGTTGACAAAGAACACAATAAAAGAGGACAATCTAAAAACACTAAGTGTAAAGCCAAAATAAAAGTTGTGGTAAAGCTAGATTCTGTTTCAACTAGAAAAACTGATCCCTACATTAAAGTTAGTATATACAAACATAATGTAGAAAATATAATAAACTTTTTTTAACTATTTTAATAATATTTGAAATTGATTGCTACACTAATTTCCATACTTTTAAACGCGACTTTGTATAATCCATATAAGGAATCAATACACTTAAAGTTAAGTCAAAATTTAGACAGTTTTACATTTAAAGTCAGTTGAAAAAAATACTTATAAATTTTGAAAAAGATAAAAAGTAGTGAGAATATCATTTTTTTAAATGTAGTTGTATCATTATATTGACTATTTTATGTATGGATAGGAAAAATTATTAGGTGTTATTACAATTTTTAATGAACACAATCACAACATAAATACAGCAGAGGCTTTAAAATGCTTAAATGCTTTTCCTAATTTCAGAGAAAATTTTGAAGACTATTTTAATGACGGAATGACTATAACTGAAGCTATTCGGTTTGTATGCATAATGTAATCCATAATATAAAAATACAAAATTTAAAAACTATGTAATTAAGTAGTTTTAAAAATAAAAACTTTTTTTTTAAGTTTTAAATGCAACATTTTAAGGGTTTTTGCTAATATTTCAAAAATAATTTCTATTATAGTTACCATGAGAGTGTTATGGCAATGAATAATCATTCCATTGAGGATTTTGCAAACGCTCGATTGAACCCAACATATAGAACTATACAGAATTGGCATGATAAATGGAGGATTTTAAATTTAGGTCCGCGTACTGGTCAAGGGGTTCATATGGTAAAATATGAACAACATATGAAATAATTACTTTTATAATATTTATATTACATTTAATACATTCTTTTTAATTATTATACAATATTAGATGATTATTTGCCTGTCTTACATGATATTATTGGATATTAAAATTAATTATGATACAAAATTTTTTATTCAAGTAACCTAAATACAGTAACATCATCAGGAGTGAACACTACTATTACTTTTATCTAAAGAATTTAGACAAAGTTTCAAGTAGAGTTAAGCTGTAATATAATTAACTTCATTTACTGATAGGTTACTCTACCCTTTTTGTACAGAGATTGTATTAACTAAATGTTTTTTAATTAAAAGCATGTATGATTCAGTAGTGTTCAAACAAAATTATATTACTACATTTCACTGGAATCATAAAGAGCGTTGGTGTTTAGCATGGAGAGATCACATAAATAGAGGCCACCGCACTAATATCTTTAGTGAAGTTTCAGTGAGAATTTTTAAAGAAAATGTATTAAGTAGAGTTAAAGCATACAATGTTATTTCAATTATTGATTTTTGTTGTACCAATTTGGAACATTATTATAGAAAAAAATTTCTCGAGTTTTCAAATGATAGAAATGCAACTGCTCGTAAATTTTTTGAAAAAATTACAAAATTAACTGATTCTGTGACCCAAAAAGATATTGAAGTGGATAATGAAGTTAATACAGATAATACAGTTGATGTATTGTGTTATACAATCTATAGGTATTTGTTCGTGTACAGCTGGAATGTATGGTAAGTTTTTAAACATCAAGGTATTGTATACAAGTTTTTTAATAAAGTTGGAGTTAATTTCCCTCCTGTTACAATAGAGGATAAACATTCAATTGCACAATTAGCACTAGGTAATAAAGCACCAAATAATCATTTTATGAAGGTCTTTTACCATCAGAGGTTATTCATAAAAATGCATTGACAGTTGAAGAAGTTAAATTAAAACCAGTAAATGTAATAGAAAATACAGAAAACAATATTAATGAAAATAGCATCTTTGGCAATATGGTTGAAGAAAAAAGTACTATTTCAGAAAACGTCTATTGTCAGGTGAGTATAATTTATAAATACCATTTGTCAATTAAACAAACATGTTACTTTTATTTTTAGGTAGACCAGCAATTTCAGAAAACAATCGCCCTAAGAAGAAACCAAGAAATATACTTCAAAACATAACTAACTGTACGCCTAATGCAAAATCGCACTAATTTATTTCTGTTATTACATTTTTTAAATAATATATTTATAAATAATTTATAAAATTAGTGTTTTCTAGATATTAATAATAATAGTTTACTGATATCAACTGTTATCATAAATAATGAGTAGCCAATCAGAGAGGCAAATTTATTGCTGGGTTACATTTCGTGTGCAGAATATTAATATGCTCCCCGGAATCGAACACTGATTTCCCGTTACCCGTTACAACCATGATATTGATAGTAACTACTATCATAACATGAAAGTAAAAAGTGAAAAATAAATATAGTATAAAAAAACTAAAAAAACACGCTTTTAAAGCACATCGAACTAAAAAGTTAAAAATAATTTTTAAAATAAGTTTAAAATAATTATGAACAAAAAATACTAGTATTATTGTGATAAAAGCGTGGGTGCTTTGTGCCATATTTTTTGTGTATTAAGCGCCCGATTTTATCACAATAATACTAGTATTTTTTGTTTATAATTATTTTAAAAATTATTTTTAACTTTTTTGCTTTTAAAGTTAAATTAAAGTTATTTATTTAAAAGAAGACGCATTAGCGAATCAATATTAAGTAAATATTATCGTAATTGTCAACTATATGTGCTGTAATTTAACAATATAAGTTTTCTGCTGCTAAAAATTATAATGAAAATGTATCATTTTTAATAAAAATACATTTTACTGAATTACAATTAATTTTAAATATAATTTTTTGTAAAAAAAATTGAATATTGCATAATTGAATATAATGTAGGAAATGTGTATCTACATTCTTATCATTTGGAAAGAAATTGACTTTATAAAATGTAACTAGTTTTCTATTGAATTATTAAAATAATATTTAAAAAAAATAGTATAATAGTAAAATAGTAATATTAAAGATTTGTAGTTTATACAATGGGCTGTTTTACATTAGTTTTCTGCTGCAGAAAATTATAACGAAAATTTTAAATAATAATAAATTTTATTGAATTACAATTAAATTAAAGAGTACATTTTATATTATTAAATAATATAATCTTTTGAAAAAAAAATTTTAAATTGTATAATTGATTTTAATGAAGGAAATATGTGTTTACACTTGGAAAACAATTGAATTTCTAAAATGTAACTAAAACCAAAGAGATTTTATTATTTTTAAAATTTTGTAAGTCTGTACCTTGGGCTTTTCTACATCAAACAAACTTGAGTGGAATATGTCACAACAACTTATAAACTCTTCTGAAATATATGATTCATCTAATTCTAAAAATTCTATTATTTTTGTACTCGTATCATTTGGGTGTATTTCACGGGAAACGATGTGATCCCTTAACGTACTTAAATATACATTAAATGTGTCTGTAAAATAATTATAAATCACTATTGATAAATTAATTATATATCTAACAATTCATTAAAAAATAATTGTATAAATCTATTTGTACATACAATATGATGAAAATTGAAAAATTAAATTCAGTTATAAAACCACGTCAATTTTCAAAAAATAATGTACAAAAACCCAGCACAGTGGGTGTGTGGCATAGTTGGTTCCAGTATAGATGATATCTGACAGTTATTAAAATCACTGTCATAAAAAACGCTTCGATGCAAATCTGTAGATAATGGTTAATTTTAAAAAAGGAATGGATTATTCCAAAAGCTATATGGTCTCCTATTTCCTTATTTATATTTCGATTACAAGAAGTTTTATGATTTATAAGTGTAATATATGAATAAATAAATATAAATTAATAATATATAAATATAAATAGTGCTTATCTTTAAAAAAATGTAACGATACATACATTTTTCAAAAAGTTATATAGATATAAAGTTAAACATTTAAATATAAAATCGAAAATTTTCACTGTAAAGACAAAATAAAGTCCGAACTTTTTTTTTTATAATAAAGTATATTACATTAGCTTTAATTTGAGGTATATATAAAAGTGTCAAAGTTTCCGGAATACTTTTAAAAGTTATGTTTTTGGAGATATCCCCCATTTACGGGGAACGAAGGAATTTTTTTCAATTTTGAGGGTGATGTCTTCAATTAGATACGATTTGTGATTTTTGACGTATCGTTGAAAGAAATCGGTTCCGTGAGAGCTGAGAAAATGTGGTAGAAGACACAAAAAAAAAAAACAATCATAGTAAAGTTAATACATTCTCAGTTTCGCTTCGAAGCTCAAAAAGGATTTCAAAGTTATTTAACTGTATTACCTCTGTCTATGTAGTTATATATGTCTAATTTAACAACGCAATTAAAGAATTCATTTTGTGCTTCTTGAACATTTTTTACTGACAAATTTTCTATAATATCATAAAATTCCCCATCGGCTGATGTTGAATATAGTAGTCCCTAATAAAAAAAAACAGTTCAGTTTGTATTATGTATAGAAGAAACCATATTGATTAATATTATAAGATTATTAAATCTGTTAGTTCGGATCTAATACATTTCAATGCGAATTTGCTCAAAAAAAATTTGGTATATAATTTTTAAAGAATATTTTTTTTCTAAAATATGAGCTATTACCCCTAAAGACGCCTATTACTATATAGTGAGAAAATTCTATAATATTAATATATTGTGATGGCGTCATTCATTCCACTACATCGTTTCCTGATCGATTCTCATATGCACTCAAAACTTCTTGCACCATTTCAATTTGTAGAAATTGAAAATCGCTTTAAAAATAATAACAATAATAAAAGATAGCTGTCGAACTAGAATAATATTATGTATTTGAAGCTATATAAATAAATATATATATAATTTTAAATTTGCCAAATATTGGAAAAATTTACCGAATAAATATAATTTTTATTTCAGCAATCAATTTTTCATAAAATAAAAAGGTGGCAGAGTTTTTTTTTAATCTTAAACCTGTTTTTAAAAGCTTTAATTTGTTTCAGTTTTTAAATATATAGTATAGTATTCCAGAACAGTATCAACAATTTAATAAATATATTGTTAAAAAACTTTGGCATTTAATGACTAGAAAAATTTCTAAATATGATTTTAAGTTTTAAGATCATTTTTATAAAACAACAGTAGATTTAAGAAACGTTTATGTTTCATTAGAAAAGTTGTCAAGTTTTCCGATGTATTATAAAAATTGAATTGAAAACAAAATTCATAAACACGAATTTTTTTAACTTTAATGCTAATTTAATGATTCTTTGGTTTTTTAAACAAAAAGTATATAGATAAAGAGTTAAATTACCTATAGCATTATCAATTATAATTTGAAATTTATCCATTAATTTTTTAGAATATGGTACTCAATTAAAAATGTGAAAAATATTAAAAATTGCAATTTTTAGAGATTGTACTCTGTTGATTTATTTTTGTAAATATAAAATAATATTTTATATTTTTATTAATTTTAAAATTTTCCTTTCAAAAATAACAGTATACAATAAAATGTTTTATAGTAATTTATACTTCTTCTTTTTTACTTACAGAAGTCAAAATTATTTGAAAGAGCAAATACATTTTTTTCCAAAGTAATAGATCTAGAAACATGATAAGTTAATTTTTTTAATAATTTATCGTAATAATGTCACATAAAAACTAGTGAATAAAAATATACTAAGACACTACGATCAAGTATTATTCATTTTAATTTGCTGAGTTGTTATTCATAGCTTTAAATAGACTATATTATATGTGATGATATAATAAATCAAAAAATTAAATATAAAATATATATTGTTCTTGAAAAATGCTCTAAAGTTTTATAAGATTAGCATTTTAGTGTATTATTATTATATATTTATTATTTTTAACTATTACTTAATTATTTGAATATATTACATTACTGTATTTAATCTATTAAAATATATAATTTAACTAATGCAATTAAAAAAACTGCTGGCGATAACATATTTGAGCCCAGTATTTCAGTAGTTATATACATTTTAATAATTCGGTAGGAAGAGGATCGTGTCAGAGTGATGCACCATGATAAGAATGGCATAACCTCAATTCCTTCAGTAATAACTTTAAAAATACTAGTCTAGATGTGGTTATAACGCAGCAATTTCTTAGTTTGATAATTTTCTAACTTTTAATCTATTAAACTTAGTAACCTATAAAGTTTTCAATTAAATACATTAAGTGAACATGCACAAATGAAATGTTAATAATTTTATCAAAAGTCTTAATAATTATCAATTAGATCTATTCTATTCTGTATCTAACTCATTTTTATAACATAGTTACCTGAATTTTTGTCTGAATATTTAAGTTGCGAATAATATAATTGTATGTATTTAGTTTAACAAATAAAATAAATTCGTTATTGTTTAACGTTTTATATATTCTGACTTTCAAGGAATATTTATTTTTAAAAAGTTCTATAATCAATAATTAAACTTCTTTAAATATACAACTATAATAGATTTTTAAAATAATTTTTTTTTAGACATCTTTTTTCAACGTTATTTAAAACTTGGATATGTTTTGCATCTGATATAATACACCCATTCAGTTGTCTATAAATCATAGTCTATTAGTCATCAAATTAAATACATGTTGTTCATGTGAATAGATTTTTAACTATTCTGAAAAAAATGTATAAAAAATGCATTAATAAAAACCTAATATATTAACTATAAAGAATTCTTTAGTNAAATGCATTAATAAAAACCTAATATATTAACTATAAAGAATTCTTTAGTTTTGATAAAACAATAATCTGTACAAATTAACAGAATAGTGCAATAAACAGATAATAGTAAACGATCATAAAACTTAGATAATCCATCTGTAGCGACCAAAACATACGCAACGAATATTCTCGAATGTTCTCGTTATCAAAAACCTTCGAGAAACTTCGATAACGCCATAAGATAACCTACGCGGGTATAGAATATTCTAGAATTAGCGAGAGCCTTATCGGAGCTATATATATATCGGAAGAATCAGTCAGTTCAGTTAGTTCAGTTCAGACTGTCTAGTCCGCGATACGCTACACGACCGCTACACCCCGCCGCTGTTGTCATCGTGTATTATGTTTACTTCGATTATTTTATTTTTCCTTACTGTATATACATATATTTTCTTTTAGTGTTTATACGTCTATTTTAGTGTTATAATTTTGTTTAATAAAAGTCTACCGCCATTTAAATAATTGTGTGTTGTAAGATATAACCCACAAATTGGTGACCTCGACGTGATGGCGCAGACAGACGAAACAATTGCTCGAGTAGCCGTCAAGATACCGGATTTCATTTCGTCAGATCCCGAACTTTGGTTTGCTATGGTCGAAGGAAGTTTCGCCAGCGCGGGAGTCACTGTTGACAGTACAAAATTCGGGTATGTAGTTGGAGCATTACCGCCAAAATACGCAGTGGAAGTCAAGGACATAATTATGACGCCGCCCTCAGACAGTAAGTACGCCAAAATTAAACAAGAGTTGATAAGACGTCTTAGTGCCTCCCAAGAGGAGAAAACACGCCAACTTTTAGAACGCGTTGAGATTGGAGACCGTAAACCATCACAATTTTTACGCCATCTCCAAAGTCTGGCCGACTCTTCTGTTCCGGAAACGTTATTGAAGACACTTTGGATGGGCCGTTTACCGAAAAGTATACAGGTAGCGTTGGCAATAGTGAAAGATAGTAAGCTTGAAGATCTCGCTGTCCATGCGGACAACATCGCAGACGCATCGGGTCCTTTACTACCACAAATAGCAGAAATGTCGAGAAGTGACACTTTTGAAGCCATGTTGAATCTTAAGATTTCTCAACTTAGTCTAAATATTAATCAGGAGATTGCAGCGTTGAGAAGTGAAGTGGCTGCGTTAAATACTCGCCCCTCGCGTACTCCGGACTCAAGACCAAATACTTACCGTCCAAGGTCACGATCTCGAAGCCGCACTCATCATGGCGCAGACGGAATATGCTGGTATCATTGGCGTTATGGATCCCAATCGAAAAAATGCAAGGAACCTTGTAACTATAAATCGGGAAACGGGACGGGTCATCACTGATGACGGCCAGTGAGCCCGGTCAGTTTCCACGCCGTCTTTTCATCACAGACCGAACTTCCCAAACTCAATTTCTCATCGATACGGGCGCCGACTTGTGTGTTTATCCACGTAGTGCTGTTCCAGGCCACCGCGTAAAAACCGATTACGTCCTATCAGCCGCCAATGGCACGCCTATAAACACCTACGGCACTATCACGCTCAGCCTAAACTTCGGACTTCGTCGAGATTTCACTTGGAGATTTGTGATTGCGGAAGTATCCAAGCCCATCATTGGTGTTGACTTTTTAAGTTTTTACAATCTTTTGGTAGACGTGCGCAATCAATGTCTATTAGACGGACTTACACAACTCACCACTCGTGGTCACGCCGTCAAGTGCTCAATACCATCTATTAAGGTCGTCGTGGGAGAGACGAAATACGACGGTTTACTACGGGAATTTCCAGAGATCACTCGACCGTTTGGGACCCTGAAGGATATCAAACACAGCACTAAACACTTTATCCCGACGACACAAGGACCCCCGGTATCTTGTAAACCACGACGCTTAGCACCTGATAAGCTTAAGGCAGCAAAAAAAGAGTTTGAAGCTATGATCCAACTAGGCATTATCCGACCATCCCAAGGACCTTGGTCATCACCATTACATCTAGTACCAAAGAACAAAACAGATGCATGGCGTCCTTGTGGGGATTACCGCGCTCTAAATGCCCGGACTATCCCAGATCGGTACCCTGTTCGTCATATACAGGACTTCGCGCACTTTCTCCACGGTAAAACGATTTTTTCAACTATCGACTTGGTTCGAGCGTATAATCAAATCCCTGTAGCTGAAGAAGACGTCCCTAAAACTGCAATTGTGACACCATTTGGACTTTACGAATTCCTCTTTATGTCTTTTGGACTTCGAAACGCAGCACAATCGTTCCAACGATTTATTGACGAAGTACTCCGTGGACTTGATTTTTGTTTCAGTTACATTGACGACATACTCGTGGCATCTGTTTCTGAAGAAGAACACATCAAACATTTACAGATCATTTTTGAGCGACTACGCGAATACTCTCTGGTTCTCAATCCTAAAAAATGCGTTTTTGGACAACCAGAAGTAAAGTTTTTGGGCTACATGATTTCTAAAGAAGGAACACGTCCTCTACCTGATAGAGTCGCTGACATATTGAGCTACAAGAGGCCAACGTCAGCTAAGGGTCTACGACAGTTCTTAGGTATGTTAAACTTCTATCGTCGTTTTATACCTAGAGCTTCAGATGCACAATCACCACTAAGTGATCTCTTAGTACCTAATCTAAAAGGTAAAGCACCTATTAATTGGACACCAGAAGCAATTTCAGCGTTCGAGAAATGCAAGGAGGAACTCGCCACAGCCACGCTTCTCGCGCACCCATGTGACAACGCTCGACTGGCTATTGTAAGCGACGCTTCAAACACAGCGGTTGGCGCAACTCTCCAACAGTTCATCAATGACGAGTGGCAACCCCTCGCCTTCTTTTCCAAGAAACTCACGGCGACTGAGACAAAATACGGAGCTTACGATCGAGAACTTCTTGCGATCTATCTCGCTGTCAAACATTTTCGGCATATGGTGGAAGGACGCGAGTTTGTTATATACACCGATCACAAACCTATCACTTTCGCATTTCAACAGAAATCGGATAAGTGCACACCACGACAATTCAGACACTTGGACTTTATTTCACAATTCACCACGGATATTAGGTACGTTCCTGGTAAACAGAATATCGTGGCTGATACCCTATCACGCGTGGACGCATTATCAGACACGTTAGACTACACTGCTTTAGCAATGTCACAACAGGGAGACGACGAATTGAAAAAGTATGCACAAGAAAACACCGGATTGCGACTTAAGCAAGTGGAATTACCAGGCACGAATGTCTTAGTGTTCTGCGACACATCAACTTCAATCGCCAGACCTTTTGTTACAAAGCCTTTTCGACGAACAGTTTTCAATACCATACATCGCCTTGCACATCCAGGAGTTAAAGCCACAGTGAAGCTTGTAAAACAGCGGTTTGTGTGGCCAGGAATTGACGCAGATTGCAGACATTGGGCACGGGCATGTGTCGAATGTCAACGAGCCAAAATCACGCGACATGTCACAGCACCCCTTGGGTCATTTTCTCTACCGTCTCGAAGATTTGAGCATGTTCATTTAGATTTAATAATTATGCCTTATTCCGAAGGATTTCGTTACTGCCTCACGTGCATCGATAGATTTACTCGATGGCCTGAAGTAGTTCCATTGGAAAATCAAGAAGCGGAAACTGTAGCACGAGCCTTCTATACACATTGGATTGCAAGATTTGGTACCCCTCTTCGTATCACAACAGATCAAGGAAGACAATTCGAGTCATGCCTTTTCAAGCAACTTAATTACCTGACTGGTACGAACCATCTTAGAACTACGGCCTATCATCCTTCAGCAAATGGCATGGTGGAACGATCCCATCGGCAGCTTAAAGCCGCTATTAAATGTCATCAGAATAATCGATGGACAGAAACTCTTCCGACAGTCTTATTGGGTATCCGAGCAGCTTGGCGTGACGATCTTAAATCCACCTCGGCAGAATTAGTCTATGGAGAGCCACTTAGACTCCCTGGTGAATTCCTCACGTCAAATAATAATACCGCCAAGTGCGACGACGCAGCTGAGTTTATCAAAGACCTTCGACATCACATTCAGCAGATCCGACCAGTCAATGGTACACGACATGGCGAGAAGAAAAATTTCGTTTTCAAGGATCTAGCAACCACAGAGTACGTATTCATTCGACATGATGGGCCCAAAAACGGAATTCAAATGCCCTATGATGGTCCCTATCGAGTCATAAGTAGGAACGAAAAAACTTTTGTTATTGATATTAATAAGAAGAAAGTTACAGTTACTATAGATAGACTTAAACCAGCATACATCATGGCAGATGAATACTCTAAGGAAAATATTCCGAAAAAGATCCAGACACATACACCCATTACCATTCCCAGGGAGGATCAAAGGACACGTTCCGGAAGAAGAGTCCATTTTCCAGACCGTCTTCAAGTAGGCTCCGCTTGACTCCGTCACTGGTAGGGGAGTGATGTAGCGACCAAAACATACGCAACGAATATTCTCGAATGTTCTCGTTATCAAAAACCTTCGAGAAACTTCGATAACGCCATAAGATAACCTACGCGGGTATAGAATATTCTAGAATTAGCGAGAGCCTTATCGGAGCTATATATATATCGGAA